TATTGATTATATTTAGTTCGTTAATGATTATAAAATGGGACCACTAAGTTCATTTTATAATTCTTACTTGATTACATTTACTGGATTAACCTATTAAAATGTATAATTTATTTTTGTGTTAAAATGGAATATTCTGTTTATTTACTAATTGTCTCTAGACATTAGGGAAATATCGAATCCTATTAATACTATTCACTCGTTTATACTTTCGAGAACTGCTCTTTTAGCACAAGTATTGCTAATCAGTCGTACTTCAACATTAGACGTACCAGGAAAATTTGTTTTAGATATAGGCTTGTTAATATTCATAGGCAGAACTAGGGGGGCTCAGCCCACCCCTGTCAAAATTCCTAGTCCCACATTTCCGCCAATAATAGTAACATTTTTAAATATCGTGTTATTTTTAATATCTTGGAAAATATTAATTTAAACTATATTATTGTAAGAATTCTGTGCAAGACATATCATGTTGTGTGATTTTTACTACACAAATACTTCCTACAAAGTTATCAATAAACTAAAATTCGTTAAATTCTTTATATCTAAAATACTTAAATAACTTAATACATAAATATTTAATCTCAATACCACTTGAATTATTAGTTTTATAATAAAATATAAATTTACATTCATATTACATGTATAATCAATGAATGTAAGGCGTATTTGGAGGGTAGGGGGACAGTCTCCCACCTAATTTACTTAAAATAAAAATTCTAGGGCTGTAACCCCCCATCTAACTTTAAGGACTATGCTAATAGTATATAATGATTAATTACAGAAAGTTCCTAAAAAAAATCAATTGGCATTTAGAATATCTATTTAAATTCCAGTTTCGCCAAAGAAATAAAAGTTAAAGAAAGTAAAAAAAAGTTTAATGGGATGCAGTGTCATATTAAGACTTAAACTGATTATACAGTAGGTAATGGATTTACATTTATTATAAAATTGTTTAGATGGTTCCTTTAGTCTGATAGATGTAATGGAACTATTAATATTAGTTAACAAAAATTATTGAAAAGTATGAAAAAATATTTGGAATTTTTGTTTTTTATTGAGATAATACAATAATCATGAATTGAAGGGAAAAAAGAATGGTGAGCAAAATATAAAATCAAAAAACAAATTGTTATTGTACTTGACCGAATTATGAAAAATATTGAGCACTTTCACCAAGTATCAATATATTCAAATTTCTTTCCCTATCATATATATAATTATAGACGGGAGAATTTTTAATTCATTAAGAAAAAAATTACAAACTTGAAATCTTTAAATCATACCACTCATTTCGCAAAATATTTAAGTTTTACACCATTAGGGGTTAAGTATCAAAATTAGAAATGATCTATTTGTTCATTAAAATTAATATAAAAGAACACTAAAGTATATTTAAAGTTGGCTTGAAATTACTTTCAGATATCCTATCGTTAATCATACATCCCAACGTTATCAGTGTTTAATTAACAGATTATTGGTACACCGTAGCCAGTTGTATATCATTAATATTTTATATTATAGCATTGTTAAGATATTTTACAGTAAATACTAAAACTGAATAGATAAAGTAACTTTAAATTTACATTTATAAGTTGAACTAGACTTAAAGGGTATATAGATTAAAATAGAATTAATCTCATCGAGAAATAATTGACGTTAAGGTAATATTCCATACTCTTAAAATTTTACTAATCTAAACAGTAGTCAGTATTTTATAAATTTCCATGTTTTTATCTATCATAATCAAAATGTATAGCAATTACCATACATTGATGTTGAATTTTCAAATCAAATGCATGCTTTAGGAGCAACTTACCTTACGGTCACGTTCAAAAAAACGTATTTTCAGGATGTACATATTACACATTGAAGTTTAAATGTCTAGGCAAAAGTGTACTCAATATGGGTTATCAAAAGAAATTTCTATAGTTGATAACTACCCAAAGTAAATTTTAACATTTCCACGTAATTATTATATACAACATATGTAGGCCTCACGTTGAACGAAAACTTGGAATTAAATGATGCTTTCTTATTAAGTTAATTCGGTATACTGTGAAAACATTCAATGTTTAAAAATTAATTTACCTTGAAATTCGTTCAATACGATAATAATTTGCCTAAGAAATGATATCATCAAACAAAAACCAAGATCAAATATGGTAAAAATTTGTAAACATTGCAGACATTTTGTGCAAGATTGTAAGACCTCGTGTTAATTTAATGAGGATTATTAGAAAGATATTAAACAAAGGTTGATGCCATTGTTGAAGATAAACTCTTAATACAATACAATTTTCAACTTTCAAATTAAAAAAACATCCTTTGGAAAAAGGTTTTATAATGGAGTATAAAATTTAGATCAGATTGGGCGTTTAAAAATCAACAAATAAAATTAGTGATTATAAAATATATGTGAATACGTTAGTTGTATAAAGGCTTGAAAATGGACCATAATAATAAATTTTGTGAACATTAAGGAATTGGTTTATGATTTTAATATTTAATTTGATAAATTTAAATAAATTTACTTAATAAAATCAAAAATTAGAACTGATATTCATAAATGTTAATAATTATAAAATTTTAAGTTGTACCATAATCGATATGATTATATTGCATTTGCAAAATTTTCGACTCATTTTTAAGCACTCAGTTAATTTCTCACTTCAAGTTAAAACATATATCTTTAAATGTTTCAAGATACATTTAGTGCTCTTGAAACATAAGACTACAGAAATTAATTATTCTTATACATTTAGCAATATGAAAATACAGAAATATATGCAACGACCGTGGATTCGATTAAAGCGTACCTTTAACCCAAGAGAAGGGAACGAGTAGTTTAATAGAAAAATATTAAATATTTAAGTTAAAATTATATCTTACATGTTTGTAAAGTGAAAATAATCAAATAAAATAAAAAGTACCAGATAAAAAAAAAAAAGATTTAATTAAACCAGATATTATGGTCATTAAAGAATTGCTTATAAAAAGGGAAAGATAGAACACACGGTTGTTACACGTTAACCAATGAATTAAGAAGTGATAGAAGGTTAATTTAAGTTTCACATTGCTACCTAAATCTTATAAAAATAATAAATTGGAAATACTATGCTAGTTATTAATTTTAAAATTCCAAATATTCAAGTGAATATTGACAACAGCCAAGTAGATTTAAAATCTAGTTAAAAAACTCCAGTATTATCACAAATTTTTAAAATAAATTAACTAGCAATTGGGTTCAACATTTCACTATTTTAAAATTGTTGAGAACTTGAATGGTAGAATATAATATTCACTTACCTTTGGAAGACTATATTCATCGATGTTCATATGAAATCATCCACATAATACATGGTTAAGATATATTTTAAAATCTGCACATAAATTACTGTTCACTCTCCATACCTCCCACACTCACTGAATGTTTTTTAGCATTTCTAAATTCAAACAATTCAAACACACTCATATTCCTTTCTCATTATATAATATACATTTCATATGAAAAAAAAACCATTTATATACGAATATTTAAATATTGAGTCCAAAAAAATTCTTGTCAATCTTCTTGTACAAAAATACTACACCAAGTGAACTTACACCTACACTACTAATGGACTGGTTATTGTTCCCTACTTATGCTAAGAAAATAATTAAGACATTAAACAAGGCCCTGAAAAGGGCCTTTTGAAAAATATAGTAATAAAATAACATAGTTAAATAATTATATCTAAAAATAAAAGATAAGAAAAGATAAGAAAAGGAAATAAAGGAAATTGAGAGGCGTGGTGTGGAGGATCCCTATTTACCAGTTACCTTATACTTACCTTCTCACAGCAAGAAATTCTTCATCCTTTGGTACTTCTTCTTTGCAAATGATTGAATAATAATTGATTTAAATATATATTTGATATTTTTTTTTAGAAAATAAGACACTCAAATTAAAATTTGATAACTGACGTGATAACATAATCTTACTTCCTCAACCGCACCCCACCCCCTACTACAGCCATCTATTTTCGAACTCCCTCACCAAATGAAAATTATTTGTATGCATGTTATACGAATATTTTTGGGATTAGGTCAGGTCCCTGTAAGGAGAATGAAAATTCAAGTTTTCCTCAGGACCCACAGAACCTATATAACAACACAAGCTTAAAACCACAAGTTCGTGGGTCCAAAGAGAAAAACTTTGTTTTTAATTTTTTTTAAATTGTTAATAAAATTTTAAATACATATGACAATGTTATAGTAGAATTACTATAAGGAAAGCGAGGATTGATAAATGTCAATTTGCCACAAAAGAATAACTTACGAGCCTCCTTTCGCTCTAGTCCAACTTTTGACAAATTGATTAATTATGATAAAAAAAGGAATAAATTATAAATAAATATATGCATATTAATCCAAACAGAGACCTTTAAAGGGGTTCAAAATATTAATAGTTTAATTTATGAGCAACTCACCATTAATTAATCTGTATATGATTTTCCTCATATGACCTACTTAATAATGAGAAATAATTTTTGTTGTAGGCTGTTTGTTTATCACAACAAGACAATAAGGAATAGTAATTGCAAAATTAAATAATAAAAAATATGTACAAAAGAAAAATAATTAAGTGGTTAGCATATTCCTACACCGCAGGTTACTAAATAACAGCCAAAAAGTGCCCAGAAAAAAAAAAAAAGTACCATTCAAAGCTCAAACCGAACCAAGGCTGGGTCCAAATGTGAATATACAATTACAAAAAGAAATTTCACATGTGAACCTTACCTAAGGCTCTGCCACAGCTATAATTCTATCATAATTGAAAAAACTTGGTGAACAGAAGTTAAATAAAAATAATAGAATTAAATTTGCATAGCTGATCAACGCTGTGATCAATGTTCAAAGATTAAAAATTTCCACCAAATTTTTACAATACTCCTAAACATACAACCCGTCGTATGAAAGGCCATGTGTTTAGAAGCTATACAATTTAATACGAGTCTTACCTTGAGTATCCCTGTGAGCTCCAACTGCTTCTTGTGCATTCATAAATACTTCATCCGTGGTTTGGTTTCCAGACATTGGCCATTGATTAAAACCTGAAGAAAGAGATTCAATCAATAATCTATTATACAAATGATCATATGTCATACATACTTTGGTTTGAGTTGTCATGTGATGGTCCAGCTCTTGACATGTCCATGCTATTGTCCATATCATCATCATCATCCAATGTCAAGTCTTCTATACTGTCTTCGTTGTTTATTTCTTCCAAATACTCAGTCTTAGGTTCAATCAGTTCACCAGTCGGTTCGATCTTTGGTCCTGCAACACCTTCAGCAGCTGATGCATCGTGGTTGTTGATGCGGCTGTTATCAGTCTCATGATCACCGTCATCCAACGGCGCACCTTTGGTTATGGTGGCAGGAATGTTAGGAACACCGACGCCGCTTAGGGCTCCGGACTGAAGGGGCGGTACATCACAGGAGTTGCTTGTATCAATATGACTGTCAGGGTCGTCACTTGTTGACGGCCTGCGCTGGTTGCGCCTGCGTTTTCTAGTAGGTGAGGCACTATCATCACGAGACCTAATGTGTGGACTTTCTGGCCTCCTCTCTATCGTTAAACCCTGTGCTACTGTAGATGGACCACGTGTGATAGACTGTTGAATTGGCTTCCTAACCTGAGTGGCAACAGGTGCTTTGACCGGTGCTGAAGAAGCTGTGTTATCTTCATTGCCACCTCCATCAGTCAGACCCTTGATCTGCAGAGACTCTGCAGCCTTCAGGAACGTGCTTAACTGGTCTTGGGAAATGTTGACTTCCCCCCTGTACATGTAATCCATCATACTTTTTAGTTCTTGGAACTTAACGTCCTTAAGTATGACAATTGGATGCTTTTCATAATGTTGGCTTAATAAAAGCTGGAAAAAAAAATTATAAAATTAATATTATAAAATTAATATTATAAGCTAATGAATTTTAAAAATAAATTAAATTAAGAGGTAAATGAATAACAATAATAGTGATAGGGGAAAAAATTCTGTTGAAAATAACTGTGTCACTTTTAAAATAAATTAATAAAAACAATTAAATTTCTGGAATAAAGATAATGGAAAGATTTTAAGGCTATTACATTGATCAAGAGAATAAAAATAGACCGCTGATGCGAACACTCTTATTGTATGTACTTCTACTATAGCAGCTTTACAAAATAATGAATAAAAGCGCCACACATTTTGAATTATTAATATTATGTACGTACATTTAATAAACAAAGGCAAACAGTGTGAAGGCCTATAAAAAAAGAAGCCCACCTGAAGTGCTGGTTGATGGCATACCACTTATATGTTGTATACCTATTACTCAGATGAGAACCCCCATTAAAAAAAAAATAATCAACCATGACAGTTTTTTTTTTGCATATGGTGCATGTTTGGGAGTAGGCCTGAAAGCCTAGTTTGAACACCTATTTAGCAGAATTTTTAGTTAGGCATCCATAAGTTTCTGCCTTGCCTAGTTGAGGGGTAGCGGCCTTGCTACCTTGAGTTGCCTGCTCAGAGAGCGATGCCACCCGTAATCAAGATTCAAACCAGTGACGGTGAGCGTCACAATCAACGCCTTAGTCCGCTCAGCTACTCTGTCCCCCAAAACCATGACAGTGACCAATTTACATTCAACAGAGAAACCAAAAACTTGTATATATAGTAATTTTAGTAAATACTAAATTTAGATGTTGAAATTTAATAAAAATAAACTATGTCTTGTGCATCAATTTGAAAGGCGACAAAACACTTAAAGATATTATTCCTTATCATTGCTGACAGCCACCAATTATGTATCAATAAAACAGTATTATTTTCGTAATACAAAAAACCATTTCACAATTAATTTAGTTTAAATCACTTAAGACAAAAATATAGATGAAATTAAGTGGGAGGAGGTCCAGACTCAGTGGAATCCCCTTAATTATGAATAGGAAAAATATAAATAACAATTTCGTATCAGAATTATTATTTTCAACTTTGAAAACAATTATTTACCTAGTGTCAGTAACATCTCGTTTATCTATAAGAGGTTTGAATTGATATGAACAATTTGAAATTTAAAATTAATCTAATAAAAACCAGTAGAGTAGAATGGCACATGTTCAATTTTTATGTACGATAATTATTAATTATGAACCATCCAAAAAGGTTAACAAGAATAATTAAGTTTAAATACCTCTAGGTATGGGCTGCATGCCGACAACACAACTTTGTGGGCCTTTAGGTATTGACCCTCAGCTGCCAACGTGCAATCGACCAACGTACCGCTTTCCAGTAACGTGTCGAAGACGCTGATCAACGTGCTTTGGTGGTTGTTCCAGCGCAGACAAAAATGTTGGTTGTCTCCCGCCATGTTTATCACAGTCCTAATTAAAAAGAACGAAATTATTAAAACCTTTGAAAAACTTTTTGAAAATATAAAAAAGACGCGTTAACTCACCTTAAAATATAAACATTTACAAAATTTAATTATTTGTAGAAAAAAAAATTATCGTTACAACGAATAACAATGCGCGTATTTTTTTGGTTTAATACTGAATAACACTTTTATCAAGTCATTTAAAAAAAGAAAAAAAAATTGTTGAAAAATAAAAACAATTTAATAAATAAATAAATACTTGTCAAGTAACGAAACGTGCATATGATGCGAGACTATGAAGTAATGAATTAATATTATTATCATGTATGTTTTAGCGGGGGGTTTGATTTTTAAGTGGCGGAGCAGCGAGCACGACCGTCCGGCTTCACATCAAGTACGAAACAAAGCAAATGCTGGGGCCACGTCCGGGTCGGCGGCCGCTGAGCGATGCGCAGAACGCGGATTCCGGTGCAGTGCGCATGGGCCGCCGAACGCGATACAGTCGGTCTCGTGTTCTGTGACGAAACGGAGCCCGTTTAACAGCCAAACGGTGACGGTGCTCGACGACCGTGTTTGTGCGGAGGGGCACGCGGGTAACGGTCGGTCGGGCGGCCGGTCGAGTCAAGAACAGAACACGGCACCGGCGTCGGGTGTGGCTTGTGGCAGCTGCAAGTAAGCCGGTCGACCACCCGCCAGTCATAGGACGAATTGTCAGCGTGGCGCGGGGCGGGGACGGGCCGTTTGCCGACTGACGGAACGATGTTCGGCACTAAGCCAGAAACCAACGAACGGACGAAAGTGTAGCTCTACTCTATATAGTATATATTTTATATTCCCCTTCGCCCGGCTTCCTATCCACCGTTTATCCGCCGACGCCTCATGCTTGATTGGATCCAAGCCGTAGAGGTCCCCGTCGGCGCGTCTCGCATGGTAGAAAGTTCACACGATTTAACGACCGACAAATTATTGTACACAATAATTAAATATTAATAATATTTTCTAGTCGTTTTTTGCGTACCGCCTAGGACGAAACGGCCGTTGTTGTCGTTATTATCATTATTTCCCCTCCGATAACGTTTGCGAGATTATCGTGTCGAATACCGAGGCCGTTTTCCTCTCGTGTTTCCCACCTCTAATACTGAATACTGAGTTTAGTCTCATACTACACAATTCGACGTTTGTCGCAAACGATATTAAGATTTACGTTGTGTAACGACTATCATTGCTTTCGTTCGTGCCGGGCCCACGTTTTTCTATCACATTTAACCCGGTTAACAATCATTATATTCAGTCACGTGGTTACCAGACACATAAAATAATAATTTTTTATAATTTAATAATGCAATACATTATAATAATAGTGTAAAAAGAAACTTTTTGTCCGAATTGTCAAAAAAAAATCTTGTTCACTATTTGATGAAACATGTTAAAATCTATCAGCAACCCGCTGGACACGCCTGAAAATTGGTAAAAAGCGTTTGGAAGGTTTTATTCTAATTTTTCGTGAAACGTTCATGTTTTTCCACGGGCAACGATGACGAATTCTCCTCGTACATACGTATTATCAAATAAAGTTATTATGTTATAACATTAAAATTTAAATCTAATAAATGTTATTTCCTTTCCTCTCCGCGCGTGCTTTATGTTTGCTAATAACGATCGGACAGCTATTATTTGAAATTTGATTATTCATTATCGCACCATAAACGCGTTTTCCAATCATAAATAGACAAAATTTACATTATTTTTATCGCCAGGATATCAAATTTCGATGCGTTATAGCATTTTTTGTTTAACGGCAAATTTCCGTCGTCGATATGATAAGTACAACATAATTTTGTAACTATCGTGTTTATACAATTTTCGTTTTCAATATACTGACGACCACTTGTACTACTCTTATATTGTAATATTGTATTGATATTATTGCAATATTATTAGTACTATCAATATTTTTTTAATATAATATAATTTTTACAAGCATTATGCTTTTAAAGTGGGAGTTGGAAACCATGTATTTATTATTATTGAATTTAATTGTATATTATCTCTACGTAACGTTGTAATGGTTGACAGCAGTAATCATTAATTATTATTTGTTAATGTTTAGTTCTATCGACTATCAACATGAATCATGATAATTGATTGAATCATTTACACTAATACACTGCTCATGAGATAAGTAGAAATACCTAAATATTTATCATTTATTGAACAATAAATTTGAAAAACAAAATTCTTGGTTACAGTGTTCAAATGTATGATCACACGTACAATATACTTTTTTAACTAGTATCGTCGTTTTAATTAACGGGATTTTAGGAAAATTTAAATGGAAAATATGCACGAATTTTTAGTTAACCTGAAGCAGAAAACATCACGTAGAATGTCGAATTAATCATTCCGTAAACTCATGTTGAATAATAGTAAACAGTAATGTGTACTTGTAGTAAACTACTTCCTAATTGTATTTTTTTATGTAAACATGATATAATTAAAATTACATTTTTCAAAGGAAATACGGTATGATAAGAATCATGAATGTACAATAATTATTTAAGTATTTTCTTATTTTATATTATACACTTTCATACTTTATATTAATTCCAATAATATTTATGAATAAACAATATTAATTAAACAACATTTACAAAAAACTACGACTACCGATAATGATTTTATAATGACCTACATACCTGATGATCTATTTATTATTAAATAAATACTACTATTAAGTTCCAGAAAATGTAAAAATTAGAAATACATTTTTATACAATATTCTGAAATTGCAGGTACATTTGAATAGCAGAATAAATAAATTAGTTATGTCTAAAAATCTAAAAAAATTATTTTTAACAATTTTCTATAACATCTTGAGTAGTATTAAAATTGATAAAACAATTATGACCATATTTTATTATTAAAATGCGATGTAAACGCTAGAATTTACTGCTTTGTATTATTTATACTGTATAGAATTAATATAATATTATTTATTTACTAATTATAATAATTATCAACCGACTAAATTATTATTTATTAATACATATTGTATTGGTTTCCATATTATAAGTAAGTTTCATTGTTTTTAACTGTTTATATAAAATATTGTGTAAATGTGTTTTATGGTATTATTTACAATGGATATTATTAAAACATGATTGATGTTTTATATTTTGTTATTAAAAAATTACGTGATCATATTATTTTATCTTACGGATTAATAACTTACAAATTACAACACATACTAATTTTAAAAAATATCCACTTTTTATTAGTTATTGATTTAATCAATGTGTAGACAATATTTTCAAAATATACATTAGAATTAAAAATAATTACACAATTCTAAACAAACTCCAAGTCACCAAAAACGCTTTTTCTATAAAAATATTAAATATAACCAGATAACATTAATATTCAATGTTAATTAATAACTGCTTAGGTTAGGTTACCTTTTCAGATAAATCTACTTGACTACTCAACATTATTAATACTTATACAGTTATTTTCTAATAAAAATTATATTTAGATAATAGGTTAATATAGACCAATTTATGATCATTATTTTTAAATAATGTGTTTAATAAATATTTGGCGAATATTAGAGTACTGAGTACTGACATAGTGACATAATGTGAAATAATGTCTGTGCATCTTCAATGATTTTTATTACCATCGTAAATTATATTATGATAATACAATCAAATACCAACCATAACTATACTTAAGGTAACCAGATACTTATTTTATAAGGAAATTATTTGTTTTTGAATACATGTCCTACTGCTCTAAATAAATGACTTAAGTACATATAAATTAATTCATTTAAAATTATCTAATAATAACAAATAAAATAATGTTTAAATACTTTATAAATTCATTAATTTGATAACAACTTAAAACTTATCAAAAAAAATAATTTAAAAAAAAAAATAACTAATATAATTAAAAATCTGTGATAGCTGATGTTGATTCAAAATAATTAAAAGATGTTTAATTTGCTATTATATCATATTTATTTATAAAAATAATATATATCTACTTATTTTTATTTTTTAAATCTGATCATCATAACTATACTTAATATAAATAGTACAAATAGTACAATAGTTCCATACTTATATTCTATATATATTTTTGTAAGTACCTAATATCTGAGGTATCTTAACTTTCTAAGTAGTAAAACTTAATTAATTTACAATACTTTGGGTCAATACTTAATTACAAAATTAGTGATATTCTCATAGATTTAACTAGATAAAAGATTTAGCTTTTGGATGACTTCTCTCATAGACCTTCATAGACCCCAAAACATTTATTTATATTATTTAATTAATAATAATAAAAAAAAAAAATGTTTTATTTAAGGAAGTATGACAATATTGACTAATAACAATTATTTATTTATTTGTTTTACAAAACAGTTTCTTAATATTTAAAGAAATATACTCAATTTATTAAAGTACCTACATAATAAGTAATAACCAACAAAATAAATTATAATAATAATGGCATGAGCTTATAATGAGCCACATTTTAAAATCATATAAATATTAAATGTTAAGTGATGTGTAGTGTGACTGTAGCGTTTTACAATATTAATTTATTGTTATTGCCAATTTACCAAAGATAACTTCATCAGTAATAGATTACAGCATTATTCTTAAAAATTAAGTACCTATTACTTATACCTACTCTGTAGACTACCTATATATTATTTTATTTCATACAAGTTATATTAGTTATAATTTATCACAGAAAATACGAAATTGTTAGACAGGCCACAAATATAATGTATAAAACTGAAAATTGTGTATGATTTCTACTTCTAATTAAATACTTACATTTTATTTTTGTGATGTCATAACTAAGGTGGGAATCATAGTAAAAACATTTTCCACCTCAGTTTTATTGTTAATTGTACAATAATAACAGTCAACAGATTAAGTAGTCGTAACTTATAAAGTTGTAAGTACCTTTATAAGTTATATACGTAGGAATTTGTATAAATCCAATAAGTAGGTAATGTTTTTATGACTAATACTGCAAAACTAACATAAATAAAGGAACATCATTTGGTAATTGCAGTGAGTATTTCCATAATTCCAAGTAAATCAAATTTGTTTTATTGTTTATCACTAGGGCTTAAATACCAATGCAAAGTGCATTGTTTTTTGAGTACTTTAAGACAAACTATTCTTAGAATATAATTTATTTCTACTTTCTAGTAACAAAAATGTGAAAAATGTCTAAAGTGAAACTTTTATTTTGCATTTCTCATAGGTTTTTTTTTTATTTTTAGATCTTTTTTAGTACGTTTTTAATTCATATTTAAAAAGATTGTTTACATAAAAATTTATACTTTTAGTACAAATTAGAATATTCAAGTTGTATATCAAGATATAGG